ATTTTCATATTTTAAAACTCAAAAAAACTTATTTCTTGTATCATTCAGCCTTCTCCAACAATGAGATAAGACCTCGAAACGCAAGAATATAAGGACCGACGGATATATGAGTGATTTTGTACGAACCATCTTAAATCTAAATGATAATGCTAAACCAAAAGCCCGGAAACTAGAAAGATGCATAAAAGGATCGTTAATGCCGAGGCAGCGATCGTTTTAAATCAAACATGCATAAAAAGGTTTTGCCCAAATATTGTAATATATATATATATATATATATATATATATATATATATATATATATATATATTGTTATGAACATAATGCCACCAAAACAGCTCATTATGGATATTGGGCCCTATCAAAAGCTGCAGTGACACAGCGGAAACAAGTCGGCTCACGAAAAACTTGATCATTCTATCATTGATATCCTTAAAACAAGTGGTCGCAACATTTTGCATGATCTTTGGAACCTTTTTCCGTCATTTGCAATATTCTTTAAAGTGACTTGCACTGGTGAGATGAAGACATTACAGAAGTATTATGATATCATATCGCTTTTTTGCGATTATTGCGCATGATAAATCTTTAGGATTAAGCACCCGGAATAGTTTTGCTCATGTTTGTACTATTGCGTAACGAGTTTGTACCTATCTGAATCATATAATTGCGGGAAAAATCTGAATTGCGGGAAGAGCAATTACCCAGACTTCCTTGCAAACTCTTTCATGTCGATAAGGTTGACATGATTGTTCAAACGTGGATGCCAGTAGCGTTTGTATAATTTTGTTTCGCAAATTTAACTGTGAATGTAAATATTCATGCGATAAAATGTTTACAACAGCCATGCGGCAGAATGTTTACAACAGCCCACAATAGGCAGCCCAAAATCTGTTAAGGAAGACTCTACGGCGGTGTCGCCTATAACAAACATGCCTGCTGGTTGTGGCTGATTAGAATCACCTGATTCCATGAATCCATCACATGATTGGCATGGCATACACTTGTTGGCAGTGTGATAGCAACATTCTACAAGAGCTTCTGTCGTGAGCACTCCTGTCATCTGTCGTGAGCACTACTGTCTTCTGTCGTGAGCACTACTGGGTTCTGTCGTGAGCACTACTGGGTTCTGTCGTGAGCACTACTGGCGCCTGTCGTGAGCACTACTGGCTTGGTCTTTGTACCGTCAAATACAGGAGCCATGTTAAATGTTGACTTTTCACCCAGATATGCGGCTTAATAGAAGCGTAACTAATGTTTGTGTCACTCTCGCATTTATCCACCTTTTATTAATGTCCGAGATGTAACCCGTTTGGTTGCATCGCTTGCGTCTCAACCAGAACGCCAGAACGCTCGCTATTTAGCCCTGGCTGGGATGACCTGCCACCTGTGACATGGCGCAAGTTCTGCTGCGGGCGGAGGTCAGGGCGCATGCGCCATACAACGAGCTCTGCTTACCATGGGGTTTGATTCTAGAACCATCCAATGAAAATACAGCCACTGCCGAAAGCAGAGCTCCGAGGTCACGTGCTGGGGATCATAAGGTATGAATTCTGACACATGCCTGTCACCGAACGCTTGCTGATACAGCCAAGTTCTCAGGCATGAACAAAACGTTGTGCGGGCCTGTGCATAGTGATAGTAACTGGGCGGCACTGTACCGGATGACGTCATTAGTCGGCACAGCTGCGCGAAGTCAGCTACAGCATCCGTCTATAGGGCAATATCCAAACCAAGAGTTGAAAATTGACCAGGCAGTTGCATTGTTCTCCATAACCAAGGCAGCTGATGCGTCCTAAAAACCCATGAGCTAACTATCGCTGCTATCCAAACTTGTGCATGATCCTTGCTTATTTTTAAGTACAATAGTATGCAGTTTGATGTAGGGATTTTTAGACGTAAAATTGTCGGCCAGGGGCGCCGCCGGGATCCTCTCACTGTTGATTGTCCGGAGGTCGGTGAGTAGCCGCCGGGATCTTCTCACTGTTGATTGTCCGGAGGTCGATGAGTACACAACGCACCAATTTCAAACTTTCTGTAAGGAGCCCTCTGCGTTAAAAATAAAAAAATCCAGGCCAAAGGAGTGGGCCGGGACGCCCGGGCCGCTCCGCTGGCTGCGCCCCTGATGTCGGCCCAACGCGCGCGGTCGGCGAACCCGCCGGTCGCCGCCCCCGCTGCCTGCGCCGGCCATATATCGCCGTGCAGCGCGCCTACCGTGTGTGAAAAACCGTCACTTCTCAGAAGACGGAAACGCCAGAAACACGGAGTTTTGAGTCGAAGCGCGAGTAAAGGATTCTTCGGAGGCTGCCAAGGTTTGGGCGCAGGTGGACGACATGCAGAAAGGGTATTGCTAAAAAACCATAGGATATCGCATCGACAATTGCCCTATCAGGGCAAGGACAATCTTTCGTGGAGGGGATGCCCCTCGCTCACACAACAGTGCACGTCAATAATTACTTGTTAGAAAATTACTTGTTAGAGAGGGGATACCCCTCTCTCACACAACAGTGCATGTCAATAATTACTTGTTAGCCGGCAGTGATTTTCCTTTTAGCAGACGTGCCCCACCCGCGTGGGGCAATGTCGCGCCAAGCTGGGCGATTGCCGTTGGTTCTCCAGCCGCTGGCGCTGTATTTCTCCGGGGCACATGCGTGGTCTGTGCTCCGCTCGCTGGGAGCCGGTCATGCCCTTCAGCTGATCTAACCGCCTACCCTCAAACAGTGTGCATACCCACTCGCCGCTGGATGATTACTGGTCGTTTTTCCTTCATCGTCATTTCCGCAATGATGATATGGTGCTCTGTGCCCAGACCACAAAAATCGACACCGCGGTAAAATGTGTCCTAAATAAATAAATAAATCATAATAAATAAATCATAACTTACACTACGCTTGAGCGTATTTTTTTCCTGTGTTAAGACCGTTCCTTGTTTTGGGGGTAGCTTTTCACGATTGATTCGCCACGTGCTTTATCGTCTACAGCACGTTTATGCTCAGATCACCCAGCAGGCGACTTGCGCTGGGTGGTCACATTCGACTTGATAGACTTGATTTTTCGTAGCGTAGATGATAGCGTGCATCACAGTCCCGAACGATTTGGGCTTGAAATGGAAATTCCAGCACCGGCAAGAGGTCATTTGTGATTTCCCAGCACCTGGAAAGACCTTATTTTCAAGTCGCCACGAGGCCACGACGCACATGAGGGCTCATAAGCAAGCTGCATTTTGACAAGAAGCTTGCCTGAACATGAACCAGGGTTGGAGGCCGTACTTTCTGCGCCGTCGGCCGTTTGAGCTGTGACCCAGGATGTACCGGGTTATTAAACACCCTGTCCGGCCAAGCGACGCGGCTCAAAACCAGGAGAACAATATGGTGCTATGTATGAGGTATTCAACAGGCACTCAGCCGGAGTGTATAACGCATGATGCGCAAGCGCTTTCAGTTGTGTTGGTTCAAATCCTAACCAATGTCATTAGGAGTTTCAAGGGGGTGCTCCACATTTATAAGGGGTTTTTGAACTGAAATAGCCATCTTGAAGACCTTGCGGTGCTGTTCACAGTCCTGGCTTTCTTAAGACCTAAGCCCTTCTAATGTCTAAGCTACACGCCGCGAAAATGGGGACAGGTTTATCGGGGACAATATTTCGGAGTCACCTCGGTATTCATGACGCCAAAATAACGTCACTCAAATCCTGCCATTCCATAACCCGTGCGGAGATCGAGGCCAATAGAAAATATAATTATCGATGCTTTCATATCTGACGCTCGTGAGTGCGATTTTCAAATATAACGACCATCGATTGTCTCTCAATCAATGTTGTATAAGGTGCAATGACGTAGTCAAACCATGGGGCATTGAAAAGCATATTTACTAAACAAAGAATTGTGATGTCTAATACGATTTCTTCCATTAAACAAATATACCGATATTTATAAGTGGGTTCGTTTACTCATATCTGATGCCTGCTTCAACATCATCAAATGTGAAAACTTCCCTTTAGATGTTCAGTGCCCGCGGAAAAGTCTTCACGACATGGTAAAAAAGCATCGGAGCCTGGGGCTGCCCTGCGTGAGGTCATAGTGACGTCATGAATGCTGCACAGCGCTGAGTTTGCTGCTCTTTTTTCTTTTGAGGCCGGCAGCCTGTATTTTTAGTTTTTTAGTTTTAGTTTTAGTTTAGTTTAGTTTTAGTATTTTTAGTTTTTTGTGTTAAGATATTCAAAGTGAGGTAGTTTGTACACATCTTATTTGGATATTTCAGCTGGCATATGATTTATAGTACGCATCATAGGCACATGCCAAGTGAACTTGGAACGCGAACTTGGAAAGCGGACTACAATGAACTTGGAACGCGGACTACGGGGAACTTGGAACGCGGACTACGGGGAACTTGGAAAGCGGACTACAATGAACTTGGAACGCGGACTACAATGAACTTGGAACGCGGACTACAATGAACTTGGAACGCGGACGCGGATTATCACAGGTCACGACAAAGCGATGTTGGGCAAATACTCACTCGAACTTCTTAATGAAATTAACTTCTATCCAAAAGGGACCTTGTCTCTCCCTGCTTAATGACAGGGAAAGCTCAGATCTGCCTTCTGGGTGTTCCGTGTGCGTTTTGAGCGTCACAGCGATACCGTTTGGGGCATCATTAGCTCTTAATTTACGAAGGGCGGTCGAGAAACAGCCTCGCACCGCATCTGACAGCCACAAACTGATCCCGCGAATCTCGCGGAGCCTCTCAGTCCCCGCAGACGGCGCCGGCGCGACGTATCTCGGTGTTCCCACCCGCGAAGCCACGCCTTTCGCCAGAAGACGCCTCCCGCTCCCATGCATAGCCAGCTGCTCGCCCTGCACGCGTCCCCACGGAGGCGGCCAACTCTCTTTCCGCTGCACGTGCGCCGCCGCGGGAGCGCGACAGGTGCCACCTGGGGCTTTCCATGCCTGGGCATATAAGCGGCCGCCACGCGCGCAGCCACGTCCGCCCGTCTGCTGCGCCCCGCTCGAGGCGAACGCCTGCGTCGGCACCTGGCGAAGAGCCAACTCGTCTCTGGAGCAGCAGCCGATTGTCTCTGGAACAGCCGCTGATTGTCTCTGGAGCAGCAGTTGATTGCCTCTGGGGCAGCAGCTGATTGGTCCGAGGCCGGCGACGCGATGATCAGGACGGCGGTGCTCACCGCGTTCCTGGCGGCAGTCGCCGCTACGCCATGCCCCAACCGGTGAGCGGGGGGCGTGAGATGTGGAGATGCTGAACAATGCCCGGGGCGTCGTTCAGCCTTAAGTTGTGGGAACGTTACGGTTGCTTCTCCCAAATCCATCAAAGTATTTCGTGTACCAAGGATTTATCTTCATGCTGTGGTGGCACTGCAAAGTTTTTCCCGTTCCGTATGACCCTAGCGGACGGCGCGTCCTAAATCGCCAATAAAGGAAACTGGTTTGTCCTGTAACACTGACCTTCTGGGATGCGAGTGTACGGCGCCAACACTCCTGTCTGTAAGCCTTGTCCCTACATCTCACCCTGCTCCTGGTAACCAGTCCCTTTATCCTGGTACCCAGTCCCCTGCCCCTGGTAACCAGTACCCTGTCGCTGGTAACCAGTCCCCTGCCCCTGATAACCAGTCCCCTGCTTCTGGAAGCCTCTCCCCTGCTCCTGGTGACTTCCCATCCCCTACTCGTGCTGAGCTCTCATCTTACCCTACCCATATTGACCTCTCACCACCCTCTCCCTGGAGAGTCTTATTCCCTTCCCCTGGTGACCTCCCACCCCTGCCCCTGCTGATCTCTCATCCCACCGTACCCGTAGTGACATCTAACCATTCACCTCTGGCGGCCCCTCACCTCTTCCCCTGGTGACCTCTCCACCCCTGCTCCAGGCAACCTCTCACCACGCCCATGCGTGCCCACTTGGTATAGATAACGGGATGCGATAGACGCTGATTGGAGGCAAATTACGGGCATTAAAACGAGTACAAGTACGACACGTACAAAATGCCGGACAGGCACTCTAAGAAATACTACGCAACGCTACTGCTTGTGTTGCTTCCAGTCACAATAAGCTCAGTTCGCACCACTTAATCCACGCAAAAGGTAACTTAGAGCGTCCCACTTCCTTGTCCATCAACTTCTTCATAATTTAGAGCTAAGATGCTGGAAAGAAATGCAAACGGGCGGGTGACGGACGATGACAAGTGACAAAGTGACGATGACAAGTGACAAAGTGACGATGGCAAGTGACAAAGTGACGATGACAAGTGACAAAGTGACGATGACAAGTGACAAAGTGACGATGACAAGTGACAAAGTGACGCTGACAAGTGACAAAGAGTGCACGGCGTGTTGGTATGGATACAGCCGCTTGTGTGGCGGCTGAATCGGGTACAAAAAATGTTACCCGCGAAGGCCTAGAGGCCTTCATGGATGCAGAAGTAGATCTGCTATCACTCCCGTGCTGCAAGTGGCCTTCCCTGCACCTGGTGACCATGTCCTGTGCCTCGAAACCTCGTGCCCTCGATGACCTTCCCCTGTCCCTGATGACCTTCCCCTGTCCCTGGATGCCTTATCTTGTCCCCGGTAACTTTCCCTGCCCCTGATGATCTTTTCGTGCCCCTGGTGACCTGCCCTGCCCCTGGTGACCTGCCCTGACCCTAATGACCTTCCCGTACCTCTGGCGACCGCTTCTCTCTCGGTATCCACAGGTGGCTGGCTAACGGTGGCTTCTGCTACTTGGCCTCCACCTACACGGCGTCGTGGCGGGAGGCGCGCACAGCCTGCAACGCCATGGGCGCAGGCAGCGACCTCGTCTCCATCCACAGCAACGCTGAGAACGACGTGGTCGCCAGCTACCTCGGCGCGCGCGGGGCCTGGATCGGCCTCAACGACCTCGACTCGGAGGGCCACTTCGTCTGGTCGGACGGCAGTCAGCTGAGCTACGCCAACTGGCAGGACGGCCAGCCCAACAACTTTCTCGATCAGGACTGCGTCAACATCGTGGAGGACAACAGCGGCCAGTGGGATGACAACCACTGCGTGGAGAAGAAGGACTTTGTCTGCAAGATGCCCGCGATGTGAGCGGACGGGGGCGTGGCGCCAGCTGATTGGACGCGCCAGGGCAGGCCGTGCGGGCTGGGGTGCTGGCTGGAGTCGAGGGGCGTCGATGTGGCGTGTCCTGCTCATTTCTGCTGCAGTTGGCTGCTTTCTGTTATGACTATAGGCCATGTCATTTGGGGAATCGGCCCGATGCGCGTGTGTAGCGAACGATGGTGCGACTTTGTGGCAGCGAAAGCTTTTCCACACGCACAATGAAACCACTGCACCACCGAACCCGTCCGTGGGGACGAGCGAACGGAAAACTGTCGAGAAAGGCTCCTGGCGCTGGAGGACTTGTACTACGAACGACGCGTGCAGATGCAACTAAACGACTTGACGTGGCTCTTCTCTCATCGTTTTATTACACAGTGAGTTTGCTAGACAAGCCAGGTCCACTGTGCACCGGTGCCTTGCAAATGCTCGGTGCAGACACACGAGCGCCGCGACGCCCGCCGGGTTCCGGCGGGGGCAAGCGTACATTGAAGCGAAAGGTCAAGCCTGCCCTCTTCTGTTACAGCGAACAACTCTATGGACGTACACATGACTGAATGCGCCTTTTTGGCACATAATCATAACAATATCTAAGCACGTATGCAAAAAACGAGCGAATATCGCAAACGCGGCGGTGCCAGCCACTGGACGCTACGGACTATGCAGGGCAACGCAACTTAATCTGACGTCAAGGCCATTTCAACACACATCGCCACGAACCGCTGCACACGGTCCTCACTTGGCACCTGGCACATTCCCAGCGCAGCAAGCCGCGAAGCTATTCCGCCCAAGCGATTGCAGCCATGCCGATTCTGAGGACCTGCAGCCCTTCCTGAGGAAGGTCCTGCTGACGTGATTGGCGTTGCTAGACATGGACTAGGACAAAACTGGACCGTCCCACGTGACGTGGTTTGGCGTACTCGTCACCGGTGCGCCATCTTGATTGTTGCATTCTTACGCAACCTCGGGGCAGCCGAATTGTGATAGCCACAAGGTACTGATTAAAAATGGCATCCTAGTGTTCAAGCTGAAACATCCAAGCAACTCAGGCCACTTTCATTTACCTCAGGGCCCCTAACGTCACCTCGGGTCTAAGCAGGTCGTACGGCACCGCACCATCGCACGTCAACACAGGTCACATCAGGTCATGCTAGGTCACCCGGTTGACCTGGGTCTTGCTGGAGACGCTTCAGCGCACCAGACCAATGGAGGAGCCGTGACGGCTGTATCTTCGAGACCAGGCGATGAAGCCGAATATTGCCAGACCTGCCCGATGCCAGACCACATTCCGGTGAGTGCGCTCAGACTGCGACCAGTCTGGACATATTACAGTCCGGTCAGACTGTAAGCGATGTGGGAAGACTGTATACAGTGTTTAGACTGTAGAAGTCTTGTCAGGCTGCGGTCTAATCGGACTGTAGGCAGTGAGCGGCCAGTCTGGTCAGACTGCAATCTGGCCAGAGTACCGACGGGAGGTTCAGCATGGACAGGCGGGATACGTTGCACAGAGTCACGTCTAACACCAGAGCGTAATATATCACTACACCATCAAAGAAATGACAGAGAAAGAAAACAATAACCGACTTACATCAGCCAGATTTGATTGTACATTGCCGGGCAGAATGTGCAGTGAGGACATACAGCAAACAATCGTGCGTGACCGGAGACGGCCTAGTGAAACTGTCAACAGCTGGGAATGCAGCCAGTCATGCGCGACTACAAGCAGCTGAGTCAGACTTTGAACAGTCGCGTCAGGTCGGGCTGAGGATCGTCGGATAGCCTGCCTGACAAAGTAGCGTGAGAACGGCCTGAGAACAAACTCAGACTGAGAACAACTGAGTCGGATTGCAGACATTCAGATCAGGCTTCGGCAGATGGATCACACCACCAATAATTCGGTTTAGAGTTGCAGACATTTCGTTCAGACAACAGACACTCGGTTTGTGGACGGTCGAGCCAGACTGCAAACAGCTGTTTCAGACTCCAGAATTCGGATAAGACTACGCAGAGTCGTGTGAAACTGCGCCAGTCTGGCCCGTCTGCGCGCCGAGACGAAGTCTGCGAGGGTGCCTAGACCGCATATTCCGTCTTTCAAACCTAAATCTGGCGCACGAACACAGCCCGAACAGCGCTGACGCCCAGCGGCTGCCGCTTGCAACCCGACGACGCTCACCGAACACGATCATGCAGATGACGATGGTGACGAGCACGGTGACAAACGTGTCGCCGCCACCCTCGGCGTCGGGGTTGATGTGGGTGAAGCGGATCCTGTCGCCGACAGGTGCCAGCAGACGGCCGGTCCTGTTCACCATCAGTGCCACGGCGTCACGGGCCGTGAAGTCTGCGGACGAAGCGACGCTCGGCGGTCAAGTAAGGAACTATAGATGCTGTTAGCAGCCGATAGATAGCGGGCGATGTAGTGAACACTGGTTTTGAAGAAACTAGGTGGCCTGTCGTCGTCCAAAGCAAGTGAGAAAGCGATGCTTCTACCGTACGGCAAATGCGCTTTTCGTTATTGCCGCATCAAACCCAAGGCCATACCGGTTATGTGATGCCGCTTGCTGAGATAACAAAGCCACACACCTACGTAAAGCCACCGACTGCCACAGGAGTAAAACGAGCCGCAGTGCCATCCACACATCATCTGTTCCTTGTGATCATCATCATCTTATCCTCCGTCCTGCTTCATCGTGCATCCCAGCGACACACCGCTTGTCCGGGGCAGGCTGCATACATCAGACCCGAGTGGGCCGATAGCCCCGGGGGAAGGGAGACCCGACCGGGTACACAGCACGCATGCGCGGGTTAAAGCTCGGAGGCTGGCCCCCTAAGCGCGTGCAAGTCTGCCCCATCTCTAACCATTTTCCTTCATCCCATAGCCCTGAAATGGTAATTTCTGGTCGAAAAGGCTCTAATAAAAGGCAAAAAACAGAACGAAACAAAAAAGCAAAACAAACAAACCATCCACACTTCCCACCCCAATAACCGTTTCACCCTGAATCCACGTAGTTCCCCGTCACACGGGAGCCTGACATGGCCGCTAACTATGACCCGGTCACGCGGTCACTCTGGCGGCCACCCGTCAGCTATGACCTGGTCACACGGCCACCCTGAAGGCCACCCTGACGGCCACCCGTCAGCTATGACCCGGCCACACGGCCACCCGCTCGGGCGCCCTCACAAACTCCTGCGCGAAGGTCCCCTGTTTGGAGTGAGGCTAGGAAACGGAGGCATCCCACCATGGCCACAGCCTGCTCCACATTTCACCGCTGGTCTTAATTTCATCGCTCTGAATTGATCATCGCTGGCCAACACATCAGTAGTCAAAAACGAAATGGTAAATTCAAAAATCGAAAACAGAACGAAACCGAAGACATAGACGCGGCCGCGGACCTTGAACCTGTGCGGTATCAGAATGCACCACTGACAGTCGTGGGGCTGAAATACGGGTATCCCTGCGCGAACGAGCCTCCGCCGCCGGCACCCACCTGTCACCCGAATGTCGAAGAACTGGCTGGTGACGTCCGCCCAGGCGCTGTCCTTCAGAAGAGTCGCCGGCACAGCGATCTGGAACACAGGGCAGACCGTGCGGAAATAACGGAACCAGAGCACTGGCTGCTACCAATATTCCAGCGCAGATCAGGGTACAAATGAGCCATACCAGAGCACAAATAAGCCAGATCATGGCACAAATGAACCAGAACAGAGAACAAATAAACCAGATCAGGGTACGAACAAACCAGATCAGGGTACAAATAAACCAACGAGAGAGGATTGTTTTGGCGAATATGTCGCCAGGCGACGATTTTCAGAAAAAGAGTGCATGCTATATAACAGCAATAAGATTACGTGAAATAGCAGAATGCACAATAGAAGCAAAGAACAGCAAGCCAAACGCCGGTTTTCAGCATAGATTTAACATGGCGTGCGTTTAGCCCCTCAGTGTCCCAAATGTGGCCGGCGGAAGAGTGACTTGGTGAAGTACGACCAACGTTAATCGCTGCTCTCCAAGTCTAGCGATGAGCTCTGAAGTGTGGTGTTAAGCACTCATGCAACACAAACCAGCTCCAGCACTTAGCACCGGAATTAACTCATGAAGCATGAAGAAAAACCGGCCGTTATGTCACCTGCAGCTCGAAAACGTGACAGATAGCTGCCCGAAAGACATCGAAATGTGCCAGTTGTATTGAACACCACACTGAAAATCTGAGCCTGGAAGTGTCTGAGTGTCTGCGTGACAGAGCGACCGAGCACCGGAGCGTCGAAGTGCCTGTGTGTATGAGTGCCGGAAGGTCGGAGTGCCACGCTGCAGGACCGTCGGCTTTCGCGAGTCAAGAGCCACAGCGCTGGGGTGCTGGAGCGTTATTGTCGGAACGTGGAATGTGGGTTAGTCAGAGTGCCTGGATGCCGGATTCTCTGAGTTCCGGAGTGCCCGTGTGCCGCTGCCACTCACCGTGTAGTTCCACTCCGGCGAAATTGCCATGTACCTCTGTTCCGGACAGGTCAGACAGAGGTTCATCAGGTACTTAGGCCGGAACGGTGCGGGCAGGTCAAGGTCATAAATCACCCTCACACCTGGAAAAGGTTCTCAGGTCAAGCACTCACCACAATCGTATAGCTGAGGTCAGGCTTGAAGGACGGACCTAGCGTGAGGTTTACCTCATCCTCACGCGAGGAAAGGGTCAGGAGTGTCGTCTCCACCGGACCAAGGGTCAGGAGCGTCGTCTCCACCGGACCAAGGGCCAGGAGTGTCGTCTCCACCGGACCAAGGGTCAGGAGTGTCGTCTCCACCGCACCAAGGGTCAGGAGCGTCGTCTCCACCGGGCCAAGGGTCAGGAGTGTCGTCTCCACCGCACGAGGGGTGTCTCAGAGGCTGTTCAGAAATTTGTGTGAATCTCTTTAGGGTCAGCATTGGATGATGCTGAAATGTCCAGTAGTTGCGTATCATTTTTTTGTGTATTTACACATTTGGAATACTTTGAGCACCATACGTTTTTCAGGTTACGTTGGCGAGTGGTAACTGAAATTTGTCAGACGTCTTTTACGTTACGGCACCCATTAGGGTACGTTTCTGGTACGATATACATCCTCAAGGACGTTGAATGGTTGCATCTAGTCAGAATACATGACAATGTACTCAGGTAAGGTCAGTGAAGGTAAACTTAGTTAAAGTAACCTGGATGCAAACAAACGATAAAATGCTCTGATAGAATTACGCATTATTCCATCGTAACGATCATCCTTGACATTGTCCCACACCCGTGCTCTGCTGTCTTTGCTCCAAGAACCATGCTCATAATTGCGTCGAGATTAGTGCACGCATAACAACACGTTTGCGAATACACTGATGAGCGCAACACAACACCATTTTTTGGACTGCTTTGACCTGGCCTGACCCATTGAGGGTCAGGTGGTACGCACTTGGTGGTATGGTTTTTCCAGCTGTTTCCGACGCATGCGAGACAGTAGTAATAACCTTATTCCTCGCGGAAAAACCAGAAACCAGGAGAATGGAGATATAGTTGGCTTAATATTTCGGCAACATGCCTTTATCGAAACAATAGCAGAAGTGAATTTTACTTATGTTCATTTTACATGCCTTTATCGACTCTTCGGCAAGATGCCTTTATCGAAACAGTAGCAGAAATGAATTTCCTTCTGCTATTGTTTCGATAACGCCATGGTGCCGAAACATCAATCGAACTATATCTTCATTCTCCCGGTTTTTCTCAGAGGAATAATGCCAATACCACTGTCTTATCTATGTGAATGATATTCCTCAGAAATGCACTGAACAACTTACGTAACTAAACGTAACAGCCGTGCCAAAAAGCATGGTCCAGCCTCTCGGTCTTACCGGCCACCTGCAGGAAGGCCTGCGTCGCCTGACCGTCCTTGGTGAGGTCGGAGACGGCCCGGGCGAACAGGGCCGTCACGCCGGCACCCGTGGCGCCCACCAGGGCCACCTGCACGTCCGGCAGCGAGTCACGCACCTCCTCCACGGTGAGCTCGCCTGACGGAACGGAACGGAGCGGTGCGGAACGAAACGGAACGGAACGGAACGAGTGATGCTCCGAGGGCACGGGTGACGCTGCACTGCAGCATCAGATTGCTCCTTTCTAATGGCCCAAATTATAAAAACTTTGGGCGCATAGCAGTTGCAGAGTGATCATTGCATGCGCTCTGGTCACATGGGTCAGATCAGTTGACTTTGTCGCTACCACTTGATCGTTGCCATTTTATCAGTACTACTTGATCGCTATCACCTTATCGCTACCAGTTATCACTCCGTTATCCATGCAGCTCTGGTAATGGTAGTGTTCGGATAGTAGCAGCGACACCAAAATTCCAAAAAAATTGTCGGTCAGCGCACAGGTCGGGCAGGCCTAACGTTCAACCTTGACATGACCTGACCCCAGGATGACCCAGCCTGATCAGACAAGAAATCAGCGAGCCCTGAGCTGCTCACGCCGACTGGAACTGATCCCACAAAGCCCGGAAACTTATGTGATGTAGCCTGGAACTGATCCGATATGGCTTGAAACTGATCCGATACAGCCTGGAACTGATCCGATACAGCCTGGACCCAATCCGATACAGCCTGGAACTGATCCGATACAGCCTGGACCTAATCCGATATAGCTCGGAACTGATCCGATACAACCTGGAACTTATCCGATACAGCCCGGAACTGATCCGATACAGCCTGGAACTGATCCGATACACCCTAGAACTGATCCGACACAGCCTGGTACTGATCCGATACAGCCTGGAACTGATCCGATACAGCCTGAAACTGATCCGATACAGCCTGGAACTGATCCGAAACAGCCCGGAACTGATCCGACATAGCCTGGACACAAGTGAAAGGCATTGGTGGCCATGTCTCCCAGAAGTCTAATCAGTGCGATCATATCGTGACCCGCCCTGACGAACGGAACAGAACCACGGGTGCCAATGCCTTCAGATGACGCGAGGGTTCAAGCTGTAAAGGCCTGCACAGTCGGCTGTGCTACCGTAGACAGCAAAGGAAGCCTCCTGTCTGTTTTCGATTTGCGCGTGATCCAACAGCTGTTCTGCTCTTGAGGAAGTCTGGGTTCAGCATAAAATGCTGGGCTACAGGAAGCCACGGACAAAAGTCAACAACAAACAACAACAAAGTCAACAGCAACAAAGTCAGTCAACTTCAAATTCAAGTCGCCGCCTGAGTGTCGAATCCGAATGACTCGCCCATTACGTGCGGGAACAAGTTTAAGTACACCTAACGCTTTTCACAAGCTAATGAGCCCAGCTCTGGTCATGCTGTTTTTTCAAACGCAATGCAAATTGCATGCAGAATGATTGGGATAGCCTTGGCATGTCTTCGGCGAGCCTTATATTTTGTTTCAGGTTCTTTCTGTTAGTGTCCGTTGCCCAGACCTAAGCCACTTCTTCAACAGAGAAGTGAAATACTGTGGGAGTGAATGGCCGTTATCAAGTAAAGAACTTTGAAGCTGTCGAGCAACTGAAAAAAAAATCAGAGAGCATGTGACGTATTACGTCGTCATTCCACGAAGTATGCGGATGTGGTGTTTTACAGATGGAAATAACGCTAGTAATGACATCGATGATCAGTAGCCCACACTGATCAGCGTTTTCCTGGGGTGGCAAGAAGACAGGTGAGTGCTGGAGTATGCCCAAGACCGCCTTAGGGAAGGAGAAACACCCCTCCTAGCTTTGAGCATGCTTTTCAAACCACACTAGGTGCGCCTACCAAAGAGTCAACACGTGCCAGGCGGTCAGTTTGACTGATTCAATTTCAATTTAATTTTAGGTCAGCTCACGACATGATGACTCGTCGGCCGCGGTTTTACGGCAATTGCCACCTACAAAAGGCTATTCGCACTCTATTGTTTTGGATTCCGTCAATTCATGAATCGACCGTTACAACTGCTTGCCAGTCAGGACAGCCATAACGCATGGATTCAAAAAGGCTTCCACCAGAGGGTATGCGACGCAAAGCCTTATGTCTCACAACAAAATAATTTTTCAGCCAATTTGTGACGACTTGATTGGCCTAACTGACACCTTAACAATCGCATGATCTTCATATGTCTTGTAAACGGTAAAAATAAGACGAATCGTACTGATCAGTTGACCTGACGCTGACCTGACGTGATTTTGCCCTCACCTAATCCTGGGCCTGGGCCTTTATTAACATCATGGCAGGCCTACAACGTGTAAGACAAGCTAGTTTGTTGAACGCCGGTTATAAAGTTACGAGATGATGACAACGGATGGTAGAGGGCAATGAGGACGTGCTGAGAGTTTGCTTATTATAAGGGTCTGCTGGGTGCCCTGTGACGTCATTAGTTAAGCGTCCGATGCCGGTCCAGTGATCCTGGGCGAATCTGACCCGTGGCACCAATGCCCTTGTCCCGACCATCACGTCCTCGGACACCAGACGGGTACTGTTTACCCCCAGACGATTGCGGGTATCGAAACACCGCTGAAAACCTCTGGTCACCGATGGGGCCGTCGCGACAAGCGAAGCAACCCAGGAGGTGCCAATATGTATGACACGAACTTGTCTTGTCTGACCACGGGTCTGCGCAACCTAACCTAGCCTATCGTCACACCTGGTATGACGTCATCATGACGTCATGTGACCTCACGTACCTGACCTGATGCCATCGGTGATGTTGTGACCCGGCCAGACGGCCATGGGCCTGAAACTCTCCGGAATAGGGAGACCTTCTGACACCACCATCTGCACCAAGATGGCGTCCGTGATGATGTCACCCACAGCGCATTCCTCGCTGGAGCAGCTGACTGGGGTGAAGTTGAAATATGACCTGACACTGCCAGTGTAAAAGTCCTCGACCTGCGGCAGAGCATTTGAAATGAGATGACATATTTTACTTAAAATAAACATGCTTTAGGTACCGCAACATTATTGGCATGCTTGCCGTTACACACGAAAAACGTGCTCCTTTAAGATGCTGAGATAAACGGGCGCTACCAAATTGTACTTCCCAGGATTTCCCGTGCATTTGTCCCGGGCGAAACTGCGTGAAATCGAACCAGTGCCACATTCTACGCCTGAAATGCTCCCATCCAAGGGGTCAGGGACAGCGGCAATTCCACTGCAGCGATAGACTGGAAGTGACGTGTAGCACATAACACGTGAGAAGTCAAGGCAAGACGTGACCAGTGACGGACATGGGGCACAGGTGGCCGGTAGGCTGCTAGCTATTTTGTCCATCAAGATTTTCTTTAGCATCACACATCATCAGGATGTTCAAATGTTGATGGTGCATGCTGTGGAGGGATACGGATGAACGCCATATCGAATCGATGCCTGCTGTTTCTCCATGTTTTGAGCCCTCAACGCCTGGATGCATATCAAAAGCTACTCATCTCGGAGGCGAGAGGAGTGTGGCGCTGCGCGAGAGGAGTGCGCTGCTGCGTGAGAGGAGTGCGGTGCTGCGCGAGAGGAGTGCGGTGCTGCGCGAGAGGAGTGTGGCGCTGCGCGAGAGGAGTGCGCTGCTGCGCGAGAGGAGTGCGCTGCTGCGCGAGAGGAGTGCGCTGCTGCGTGAGAGGAGTGCGGTGCTGCGCGAGAGGAGTGCGGTGCTGCGCGAGGGGAGTGCGGTGCTGCGCGAGAGGAGTGCGGCGCACCCCGAGAGGAGTGCGGTGCTGCGCGAGAGGAATGCGGTGCACCCCGAGAGGAGTGCGCCGCATGATGGGCGACTTTGGTTTGGCTGTCTTTGGCTATCAAGACCTCAATCGAGACCTTGTGGTCATAACTAGGTGTTCCATTAAGATACAAATTTTGGGAGACACCATCGGTGCACTGAGGAAGAATTAATCAAGTGTTGTTTTTTTAATGTTGTTCGTAAGTGTTTTAAGGCACGCCGCCCACAATGGGCATTTTGGATCTTTAAACAAGTAGGATTAAAGATGAGCATGTCAACTCATGCGATCAAAACATTTGAACAGCTACATTCTCTTAGATCTCACAGTCGCGGCTATGGTCATACACACATGATTCACTGGTGAACCATGTGTGTATGACCACTTTTGGGGGGGGGGGGGGAGGAGGCACTGGCAAAGGCTTGATCTTGTCATTTGCGGGAAAACAACCATTTCCCAATATCACTTTTCCTAGCCAACCATTACTTTCATTGTCACTATCACCATCACGAAAAGCCACGGCCAGCCCATGACCAGCAACAGTGGTGATGGAAAGTGTCACCATCACCTGACTGAACAGTCACAGTCACGTCACGGTCGCACGTCAAACACGCCATAGCGGCGCGTCACGTCCCGCACGTCACGATTGCACATCACCACCGCACGTCACGCACGTCACAGCCGCACGTCACGCACGTCACAGCCGCACGTAACGATTGCACGTCACAATCTCATGTCATGCACGTC